GGGGCCATGAGTGGTGTGGAGGGAGAAAAGAAAAAGAAAAAGAAAAAATATCAGAAAGACTGGGAGTCCAGATATGAATGGGTTTCATTTGATGAAAAAAAGGATGAAATGTTTTGTAAATTTTGTAGGGAGTACCCACTACTGGCTGATGTGAAATCTGCATTATTTGTAGGCTGTGGTGCGGGTGGAAATTTCAGAGAGGACACACTGTTTCACCATAATAAATCGGGCAAACACCTAAAATGCGAGGGGAAATGGAAGGTAGAAAAAAACATAAACACAAAAGAAACTGCACCTATTCAACAAGCATTCCATCAAGCTGCCAAAACATTGAATGACACAACTGTTAAAAGAATGTCTGCGTTGTTCAATACTGCTTTCTATGTCGCCAAAGAAAATAATGCCTATTCAAAATTCCAATCCCTTTGTGAGCTACAAAAAAAAAATGGAGTGGACATGGGTAGTATGTATCAGAACTACAATGGTTGTAAAGTTATTGTATCATCAATTGTTGACACTGAAAAATCAAAGATAATTGAGGTGCTACGAAATGCTAGGTTTCTTTCAGTATTGTCTGAAGGCTCTACAGACTCTTCTGTAACAGAACAAGAAACTGTCTTCGTCAGATATGTTGGTACTAATGGTCACCCCGATACCCAGTTTGTCAGCATTGTTGCCTTGCAGTCAGCACACGCTGAAGGCGTGCTAACTGGCATCGATGAGGCTCTTAACAGTGTGGGGTTAAGCAGGGAACTGCTAGACTCCAAGTTGGTTGGGTGCAATTTTGATGGGGCTGCTGTCATGTTGGGCTCCAAAACTGGGGTGGCAACTAGGATGAGAGAAAGACTTGTTGGCCGAGACATTGTTGTACTACATTGTGTAGCACACAATTTAGAATTAGGTGTTCTCGATGCCATCAAACAAGTCAAGTACCTCACAATATTTCAGAGCACAGTACAACTTGTCTACAAGTTCTACTACTATTCTCCAAAGCGGAGACGAGAATTATCGGAGATAGCCAAGATTCTCGAAGAGAGTACCATTTCTCAAACAGGGCTACAAAAAACTCGTTGGATAGCAAGTCGCCGTAGGGCATTAATTGCTATTGAAAAGAGTTTTCCCTCTGTGGTTGACCACTTGAATCATGCGGCTAGCACAGGCAAAGGCGATGACAAGGCTAGAGCTAAGGGGATAGTTCAAGAGATATGCTCTGAAAGGTTTGTGAGGTTTCTGTACTTCATGATTGATGTGACTAAAATATTGGCAGATCTGAGCCGCCAATTTCAAAATGAAGAACTGTTCATAACTGACGTTATGGTAAAACTCCAAACCTGTTTGTTGCGGTTGGAAGAGCTGAAACACAGGCCAGGAGAATACCTCAACAAATTGAACTCAAATCTGTCGCAAGATCTTGAACTACAAACTGGAAAGGATCTGACAAGGCAGGTAAAAATTACCATAAAATCACCATTTGATTTTGATAAGACATTCAAGACATTTCTAGATAATGTCATTGAATATGTCAATGTGAGATTCTCCCCAATCCAGTCCCCTCCTGTCAGCCTTTTTTCTGTGTTTGATCATGTGACATGGCCACACTTCCCAGCTCTTGGTCTGTTTGGAACTGACCAGATTTGTGATCTGGTAGAGTTTTTCAAACCAATGTTCAATGAGGCGGAATTGGAAGCAATGACTGAGCAGTGGCTTGAATTGAAGGTGAGGCTACACAGACAGAGGGAGGTAAGCCCATTTGCTACCTATACCTCCCTACTGGCTGCTAGACCGGAAAGCTTGAAAGCAATCCTCCTCCTGATAGAGATACTGTTTGCCCTGTCGACAAGCACTGCAAAGTATGAGCGCAGTTTCTCTTCCATGAAGAGGATTAAGACTGGCTTCAGAAGCTCTCTGAATCAGGAAAGTTTGGTTGGCCTCATGCGAGTTGCCAATATGGAAACATCTGTCAACCACTTTGACCCCGTCCCAGCAATTTCCAACTGGTTGGGCAATGCCAAGTACAGACGTGTTGTCACTGAGCAGCCCACCGTCAGACCTGGTATAAAACCTCAGCTACCAGCTGCTGAACAACCAGATGGCCCTCAGGGTTTTGAACCACTGGAGGAACCAGCTCTCCCCCAGGCTCCCCCATGTTTGCTGGAAGCATATGAGTCAGATAATGATCATGACACCGACAGTTTGTCATTAGACTCTGACTAGACAGTTGCAGATTATAATTTATATGTACTTACAGTAATTAACAGAATAACTGTATACATTAATTAAAACTATTTGTATTGTAACAGTCAGGACTGAGGTGTTATAAATACGAATAAAACAAATGTAGACAAAACGAAATATATTGCATTGTTCTTTATTCAAATACACAGCACACTGTAACTGAAAAGAGAAAGATAAAATGTAAGTCATGGCAAACTGTGCATCATTGTATTCATAAATGTTCCATAGTCGGTAAAAAAAACATTCATGGACATTGAACAACATCATCTTAACAGGTCAACAGATCAGTAAATATTTATTGAAATTTTTCATAATCTCAGGTGTACAGTAAAATTTCTGGAGTGCCGAGTGGATTTTTCATGACACTAGGCACAGTGCCTAGTGGTTTAAAAAGTTTAGCCTGAGCCCTGAAACAACATATGTACCCTGATGGGCTGAACCTTAAGATGAAAAAAATGTACATTTTTTTTTTTTATATTTGTCTGGTATATACTTGAAACTCTGCTATACATTTATATACCCCTTTAGTAAATTGGTAACATATATGCACATCTGAAATAAATTCGTGTGTACATACATACCTTCATTTTCTCATGTCAAGCAAATAATAGCAATGTGCCTCCTGTATTCCATTGTATATTGGCAAAACATATGTGTCCATTAAACAAGCTTTCGCTAATTGTATTTATTTAATACCTGCAACACTTATTACATTATTTTGTCCATCAAATACCTTTAGTATATATGTTTTCTTGTATATGCACTTGGTGAAACATATGTTCTCATTTTTTATATCAATTTAGCCATCCGTAGCATGCACAACATGCCTATACTTATACATACATGTGTAATCATAGACATGATTTCTTGCTTTGTGCATCCAGTATAGCCCTGTAGCACATATGCTCTCAAATACAAACTAAAGAAACATTTTTTTTTTTAAATTCATCCAGCATGTCCTTGCATTGAAACAGTTCTCAATGCCTGCTGCATAAATGTTTGTAGGCACATTTTCTTTCACTTTTTTATTTACCAAATGGAAACTTACTGTGCATATGCACACCTGTACATGTTTGTATCTTGAGAAACATATGCCTGCATGTTTTACCTTTATCCAGCGTGCATGGATACAATTTTTAGCTCACCTGGTCCGAAGGACCATGGTGAGCTTATGCCATACCGCAGCGTCTGTCGTCCGTCCGTCAACTTTTCCTTTAAAACGCTACTAGTCATGAACGACTGAGCAGAGTTTGACCAAATTTGGTCAGAAGCATCCTTGGGGTAGGGGAACAAATTTTGTATAAACCATGGGTGTGGCCCTCCAAGGGCCTTAGGGGCGGGGCCAAATGGGGGAAACATAGCCAATTATTCTTTAAAATCCTTCTTCGTCTGTAAGAATAAAAGGATTTGGTCCATAATTGGTGTGGAGCATCCTTGGATAAAGGGGAACCAATTTAGTATAAACTGTGGGTCTGGCCTCCCCTGGGGGCTGAGGGGTTGGGCCCAATAGGGGAAATATAGCAAATTCTTTAAAATCCTTCTTATTCCGTAGGAATGAAAGGAATTGTTCCATATTTGGTCTGAAGCATCCTTGGGTGAAGGGGAACCAATTTTGTATACACTGTTGGTATGGCCCCCCAGGGGCCTGAGGGGTGGGGCCCAATAGGGGAAACATTGCCAATTATTCTTTAAAATCCTTCTTCGTCTATAAGAATGAAAGGATTTGGTCCATAATTGGTGTGGAGCATCCTTGGATAAAGGGGAACCAATTTTGTATAAACCGTGGGTCTAGCTCTTCTGGGGGGGCTGAGGGGTGGGGCCCAATAGGGGAAACATAGCAAATTCTTTAAAATCCCTCTTATTCTGTAGGAATGAAAGGATTAGGTCCATATTTGGTCTGAAACATTTTTGGGTAACGGGAAACCCATTTTGTATAAACCGTGGGTCTGAGGGGCGTGGGCCCAATAGGGGTAATATAGCAAATTCTTTAAAATCCTTCTTCTCCTGTAGGAATGAAAGGATTTGTTCCATATTTGTTCTGAAGCATCCTTGGGTGAAGGGGAACCAATTTTGTATAAACCGTTGGTCTGGCCCCAAGGGGCCTGAGAGGCGGGGCCCAAAAGGGGAAACATAGCAAATTATTCTTTAAAAATTTTCGTCTGTAGGACTGAAAGGATTTGGACCATATTTGGTGTGGAGCATCCTTGGGTAAAGGAGAACCAATTTTGTATAAACGGTGTGTGGGACCTGAGGGGCGGGCCCAATAGGGGAAATATAGGTGAAACCTTTATAATCCTTCTTCTACCATAGGGATTAAGGGATATTATCCTAATTTAGTCTGGAGCATCCTTAGGCAAAAGGGGACTCAATTAGGTTGCATAGGGGTGGGGCTCTGTTTGAAGTTTGTTCTCGCTATTACTCAAGTACTGGATGGATCTTTCTGAAATTTCATATGTACTTACAGCACCTAATTTATACCAATTATTTTAAACATATCAGGTGAGCGATACAGGCCCTCTGGGCCTCATGTTAATAAAGTTGTGAACCTACACAATCACATGTTTACACTATTCAAATATACTCCAGGTACAAAGGTATATAAACCTTTTAATTTAACTTTCAAATATTCGCAAAACAAAGGTTCTAGTTTTAGTAATAGCTGATTGACGACGAATTGTAGTTTTGAAACACAAAATAGCTTGCGCCATAAGCATAGTAAATGAATGGCAAGGTCACAGTCACCAGTAAAACGGTGGCAGTAAACACATTTATATCATGTGTTACTACCGGGTTCCAATATATCAATATCCTTCTGAGGGTCTGACGGACGTATCATGCTTCTGTTCGCGGTGCTCTTGTTTGATAAGTAACAATTACGTGTACCTTTATTACTACAATACAACATTAAAAATCCTAGATTCTGTCTGCTAATGCATTCATCAAGTTCAGAACAGTCGACAGTGGAATAAATACAACTGAAATAATGGTACACACCTAAAATTTATTATATTCTTCTAAAGTTTAAATTTATATTTTGGCTAATATGCTCGGAAATATTCCACTCTCTGACACAACCCTAAAATTATATAACTTGGTAGAGGTATTTATGGAGTTGTGTAGTATGTGTAATGTACTTGCCTGATAGTCTACCTTGTGGCTATATCATTTGTACTAGTATGTGTAATGTACTTGCCTGATGGTCTACCTTGTGACTATATCATTGGTACTTCTAAGACAGCTTTAAAGACAACAAAATGGTACATATCCCTTTGCACAGTAAATAACAGTTGGTTGGTAAACAGGGGGTGATAAACTGTATTAGTATCTTAGATACTACAATGCTAGTCCAATTGCCAGGTATTGAAAGTGAAAATATATACTAACTGGACTATGAGGCAAGTAAACTATATGTATGCAAACATTCTACTCACAGATATAAGGACTTTTGCCCAAATCAATGTGTTAGTTGTGTGTCAGAGGGTGGTAAGACACCCATTATGTTAGCAAAATATTGAAAATTTCAGTCAAAACTTTAATAGAATATAATAGTTTAACGTGCATCCATTTATACCAAATAATTATTACTGCAGAATACCGTAGCTAGTTCTGAACTTTACCAAAGCATTTGCGCGTAAAATATTCTAGTTTGTACAGCTAGGTATAAAGGTACGTGCACAAACCTGTTGCATACAAAAAAGGTGAAAATCCAGATACATTTATTTTTCATTGTGATCTTATATATCTGAAAGTTTGATGACTGTCCAAATACAAAATAGTATTTTTGTCTGGTTTTTGTGAAAGAAACATAGAAATTATGAGTAAAAATTTTAATAAAGGGTAAAGAGTAAATACAACGACCACATTTCTTCAGATTTGATACAGATACTTACATTTAAAAGAAAACTTTTGTAAGATTATTGTATGGTTCGTATGGATATATAATTACAAAAGAGAGTATCGTTGACATGATAAAGCCGATATAAATCAAGGTCACTGTGACCTACTTATCAACTATATGGTAGAGTTTTTCGGTAATTTGTATCATTTGCTGCTTTAGTGTTACACAATACATCGAAAATAAAGAATAAAGTTAAAAATATAACATGTTATCTTATCTTGAATTGGTGCTTTTGGATTTATCCAAATATCTTGATCAGTTCAAAATATATCACCTGGACAAGATTTCAATGAATATTTTGCACTTAATTGACATTGACGTCAAAGTTAAAGTGACCTAATTACAGTGAACTCCTTAAGTATAAGCATATTTTTTCATATGAAAAATTACGTCACAATATGCAATTCATATTTCAAATGTCCCTCGTTAATCAAACAGTTGTCTCCCCTGGCATGTGAAAGTTGTATGATCTCAGTAACAGCTTATAAACAGCGATTCACTGAAGCAAAATAGGCTATGTGATAAATGTATTTATTATTGATGAAGCTCACTTTAAATCAGTCCCTGCAGGTAGGGCGTACGAATTGTACCTGCTGGCGGGCCGCCCCCATTGCATGTTCGTAAGAGGAGACTAAAATTGAGATCTTATCTTTTCTCTTCTTTCTAAACAACTTTTTTCTTTCTAATGTCTCCCCTGACAATGCCTCACTTTTGTCCTTTAGTTGAGCGTTCGCCCCTGTGAGGACGGCTTTGGGTTCTGTCCCCTGGCCGAGACATGCCGGAGTCTGTAAAAATGGTAGCTTCTACTCCTGCTTAACGCTCAGCAATTGAGGAGTGGGACGACTGGTTAGCCCGTTGTCAGTATAATGTGACCGGGTGGGGTGTACTGCTGGGTGTCTTCGGCAGTATGTTTCAGTTTCACTACACGAATGCATCTTGCACACAGGAGAGACGTGACACTTTTGTTTTTGTTCGTACGACTGTTTAATTAGTACATACGTCTATTTAACTCGTTCGTTCGATTTTTGTTCTTGTTCGTACGACTGTTTAATTCGTACATACGTCTTTTTATCACGTTAGT